CATCCACGCCATCGATCACTATCTGTCCGAATGTCGGCTCTATTATCCTAAACAACGCCAAAGTGATCGACGACTTGCCGGCGCCCGTCCGGCCAACTATTCCCACCTTTTCTCCCGACTCTACCCTAAAGTTCAAGTTCTTGAGAACCGGTTCGAGTCCCGGTCTATAGGAAGCGCTGTAATCGATGAACTCTATGGAAGCACTTGTGGGCCAAGTATTTGATGGTTTATTGACTTCAGATGATTCCCAACTATATTCCGGTTCGAGTTGTGAATACTCTTTAACCCTTTCAACGCAAACCATTTCTGTTTCCAGATTTGAGGTATTTCTTAGACCCCAAGAAATACTGTTAATGACATCAACTGAATAGATGAGCACAAAACCGGCTAATCCTGGAGTTATGTTATCTCTCTCTAACACAACAAACATAGCGATGGAAAAGATTATTATTATTCCAATAACTGTGGTCCAGATATCAATCCTAAACATAATACAGTATCCAACAATAAATTTAAGTTTTCACTAGACATTAAAATATAATTACTCACCACATCACTGCTAATTCATTATGTTTTGCAATATTAATATTAGTATCGATAAAGTTTTGTAACTTTTCCATAAATAAATTCTCCACTTTATAGACCCGTATGGAGACGGCACCGGAAATACTTTCATTGAAGTGACTATAAATCGGTGACCGAGTGATGGAATTTAAGCGATTTAATTGTCTCGAAGTCCACAAATAGATTCTCTAAAAATACAACAAATATATCAATAAAAATCATAATTAAAAGAATTTAAAAACTTACATAAAGTATAGCAAACAGAACGGCCACAATAACTACGAGAATAGCCATGTATGCATTTGTGTAGACAATGATTGCCATAATTATGAGAAAATAAACAAAATAATTGGTGGCTTCCATCATATACCAAGGTATCAGTTCATCGATCTGTTGAATGTCTCGATTGAATCGGTTTATGATTCGTCCCAAAGGGGTCACATCGAAGAAGGACAGAGGGGTTCG